CACACACACACACACACACACTCACACACACACATACACACGCACGCATGCACGCACACACATGGACACACACACACAGACAGAGTCTGTGATGCACGGGTCTAGCTGGAGTCGGGATTTTGCATCTGCTTCGTCTGGGCAATTGTTGTAAGCTGTATCTATAGTGTTGTGTGTAGGTACAAATCCGGCGGGTCGCGTGCGCACTCCGCAGCTTGTCGGGGAGTTGTTTGCGGGAAAGCGAGAGAACGATAAGGAAATTGTTGCGGCGGAGCAAAACCTTTTTCCTTGTGTGAAGAAAGAGAGGGGAGCGGTAGGAAGCAAGCTATACGACGTTCATTCCTAGGAGATGAGCCCGTATTGTAGTTGTTCTATCCATTCTATTTTCATTTTCTTATTCTTTTGGGCCGCACTTGGACGTACATGCATTGGTTAAGTCTTCCGAGACAAGCACTCCATTCCATCCTTCCTATTCTCCCTCTGATCACCTTTCGATATCATAACGGCGATGATAAGTTAACGCGGTAATTCCTCAATCTCTGATCACCTTTCGATATTATAACGGCGATGACAAGTTAACGCGGTAATTCCTCAATATCGCCGTAATATCCGCAATTCTCTGTCTTGCCCGTACCGTTGTCTATCAAAACCCTAGTTGCGCCAATCTGGGTAGAGAGCTGTGGTAGAGAGCTGTTATTGTTGGGCGTCTGCCGAAACAAGGCCGTAGCGACCGAAGACAGAGGACGAATAGCTAGCTGGCGTACTAAGTCCGTCTTACTTATTACCTAGAGAGCGAACTCAAGGGCGAGCTCCTTCACGACTCCCGCCTCCTGTTCATGAAGTGGTAGTCGGATACGAGATAACCGCCCCTCCATCCTCCCCCCTACGTATTACTTATTACCTACAGAGCGAACTCAAGCGCGAGCTCCTTCACGACTCCCGCCTCCTGTTCATGAAGTGCTAGTCGGATACGAGATAACCGCCCCTCCCTCCTCCCCACTTCCTCCCCCCCGCCGCCCCCCCTGTCAACAACCATGGCTGTCTTCTCTTTGCACTTCACTGTTGTTGCCGTGTCTGTGCTGCTCGTGATATGGGTTACAGCAGCAGCAGCCGCCGCATCAGCATCTCCCTCGTGTGCTCTCTCCCCTCCTCCGTCCTCGTCATTACCGAGGAGGGTACAACGAGGTGGTGGATACTCGGCTGGCGATGGCCGACGATCACTTGGCTTCGAACGAGGGAAGCTTTTGAGGGAGGAAGATCTGTCCGTGAACTGGACAATGCTGAACACGACGATTTTTTCTGGCAGTACTGAATTAATTCGGCTGAATGCGATACTACTAGAGTCGGACCCTGGTCGACCGTTTGCTTCGGCGATGGCTTTATCGCCGCCGCCGACGGATGACTCTCTCTTCTTCATCACGAGAGACCGCATCTACAAGTTCCCACTTGATGCGGCGCCCGGCCAGAGAAATGCTACCTTGATCGCGGGGCCATGGATTGCTGCAGACAATAGCAGCTCGGCAGGGGGGATGGCGATGGAGGATCCCGACTTGGCTGGGTCGGGTCCCCCACAGAGAAATGGCTCGTCGCGAGGGAGGAGGATTATCCACGTGGCGGACTGTGGCAACTTCGCTCTTCGAGCCTTCGAGCTGAACGGCACAGAACTGTTCTCTCGCAATTACAGCGAGGACATTGGGCTACGGTGTTTGGACGGGTTGGCGATCGACAGTGCTAGGGGTGTGCTCTACGCTACGTCGATGTACGATCTCTACAGAGTTAACTTGACTTCGAAAACCCTAAGTTATCGGCGGGTCGAGAGATGGATTGGCCCCCAGGTGGATAGACTTGACGTGAATGCGGATCGATTCATGGACAGCCCCGTACCTTTGGGAGTGCGTTTCAATGGGGCCTTCATTAACTCGCAAGCCATCTCTGAAAATGGGCAACTGATGTATGTTGCCGACTTTTCTAATGGAAACATTCGGCGGATTCGCACCGCCACGGGAGCGGTGGATACGATTGCGGGATCACGAGCGACGAGGACACAGAAGACTGGCGCTTCAGAAGAGGGACCGGTGTTGTTGGCGAGTTTCGCTTATCCCGGGGACGTGGCGCTCACACGCGACGGCTGCAACCTTTTCGTTTCCGAGTGGGGCGGGGACCTCAGACTGGTACAGCTCAACAGCACGGGAGACGCGGTACAGGTGATCACAGTGGCCAGCATGGGTCGCGGTAATTCGTCAACTGATTTGGTGTCACTCGCACTCTCTCCTAACGAAGACAGGCTGTACGTAGCGACGTATGACACGCAGATCATGGAACTCGGCGTCAAAAGGGAGGCATTGTTCTCCTGCGGCGCGCCTCCTCCTCCTCCTGTAACTCCTGATGGCAATTCTCAAGGTACTGCCATAACTCCTCCTGATGGCAGTTCTCAAGTTACTGTGGTAATTGTTGCCACAGTAACTGTGTCGGTGGCACTGCTGTTGCTTGTGGTGGGAACGTTGATCGCCATTCGGCGCCGACGAGGCCGCGGACAATGGGTGATATTCTCCAAGGATGCCATGAAAAGGTCGCTTGAAACCACGTCAAGGGAGATCATGACGTTATCCGAGACGGGGGACAGCGGCCATAGCTCGGCGGGAGGCCAGCCGGGGGTGCTGGTGAGGCCGTCGTCCGTTTTGAAGCAGTACTCCTGGGAAGAGCTGGCCAAAGCGTGCGACGGCTTCAGCCCGTCGCGGCTTGTAGGAAAAGGCGGAGCTGCGGAGGTCTACAGGGGGGAAATTGCGGGCGGGCAGAGGGTAGCCATCAAAATGATGAAAGGCGCCGAGTTCTCGGAGACCAGGTTCCGCCAGTTCCAAGCGGAGCTGGATGTGCTGGCCACGCTCCGGCACATGCACCTCTGCAGCATCATCGGGTATGGCGCGCATCAGTCCAAGTCGTTCATCGTCTACCCATTCGTCGAGGGCGGTACCCTCTACGATTGTCTGCAAGGGGCACCCCCGGAGGGGGACGCGCGGCCGGAGCGTGGGCCCTTGAGGTGGAAGGCGCGCCTCTCCGTCGCGCGGCAGGTTGCCAAGGCCCTGCGGTACCTGCACGAGGAGGTGGACCCTCCCGTCATCCACAGAGACGTCAAGAGCAAAAACGTGTTGCTTGAATTTGGTGGCCATGACGATTCCGCGAAGATACGGGCATACCTCTCGGACTTCGGGCTGGCAAAGCTCGGGCACAGCGCATTCAGCAGCACCACCCCGCCGCTGCTCGCAGGCGCACAGCCACCTGGGAACATGACCAACATCGACATTGTGACCTTCGACACTACAGAGTATGCAGTGACACGGTCCGGGGACACAATCCAGACGGTCAATGTTGCGGGCACAAGGGGTTACATGGCGCCAGAGTATATGAGATCTTGCTGGCTGACCTACAAGAATGATGTGTACGCGTTTGGGGTGATCTTGCTGGAGCTCATCACCGGGAGGAAGGCGTTTGGACGGATGGATGTTGTGCCCGGGCAACAGCAAGACGCCAGGAATGGGACAGAAGGGATACCGGAGGCTCTGACATTCTGGGCGAAGAGAACGCTTCGGAGCCTGGATTGTCTCTCCTCCTCTGAGGAAGAAGAGGGTAGCAGAACATACACAGGGACAGGAGTGGCACCTACCGCGTCCTTGACCAGGAAGAGGGCGTATTCCATGAAGATTGATGGAGTGCAAGAGCTTGCAGACCCTCAGCTAGAAAGCCTCTGCATGGACCGTACTAGGACATCCTTGAGATCCAAGGCGAGCACGAAAAGGGCGTATTCCATGAAGATGAACGGCGGGCAACAGCTTGCAGACCCTCAGGTGGAAAGCATCGGCGGGTACGACCGGAGAGGAATGGCCGCCGTGCTACAGTTGGCGATGGAGTGCGTGAGAACGAACCCCAAACGGAGACCTAATATGGGGGAGGTCCTGGAGAGGTTGAACCGAGCGGAGGATGGTCGGTGACATCCAGCGTAGGTAAGTGGTTGGTAGCCAGCTGGATGTGCTATTTGAGCTGCTATGGTGGCCTTTGTGATGACCAAAAATCTATAGCAGCCTAGATGGAGCAACCGGGGACAGCTACTAGAGGAGGCTGCTGGTACCACCTCCCCTAGTAGGGCGTCATAGGTTTTAAAAAAAAAAGAAAAAAAAAAAGAGATGATGGCTCGGAGGAAGAGTGTGGAGCTGGCGGGGAAAGGCTGTGT